GAAATGCTCTTGCATTTAATATCCAGGGTATAAATTCAACATATAAAAAGCAAAAGCAGATTGTAAATTGCTAAAGGATTAAGGATTGCCAAACTCAGGCTAATAATAGTATTAAGTCAATATTAAGCATCCTTCCAAGTGGAAGCAATTAAATATTTTATTTATCTTTTGTCAGGAATTAGGCAAATGCAAACGACTTATGCTTCATAAACTCCATTTTTAGTATATTACTACTTGCTTGTGCTGAGTTTCTATAGATAGTGTATTTAAGAATAAATATATTTTCAGATTCTTTACTATGGTTTCTTAATGATATAAAAACATATCTTACATTTTAAAATTTTTAACAGTCGTGTTTTTTGTTTTTTTTTTAGACCTTCATTGATTCATCTAATTTTTGAATATAGGAAAAAACAAACAAATAAAACATGGGTTACAAGTTCAACAAATAGAGATATGTTAAGGGACCAAGCAACACTCCACAAAGTTACTCTGTAAACGGTACAGAAAATACTTGAATGTTGACCAAACCACCTACACTGTTGCCCCCAATAAAGACATGATGCATAAATAATTGATAAGAGCAACAGCCACAGCTTTATTTAACATTCAAAAACATGCCAGCATGCCTTCCACCTGTCAGCTGTTGGGGTGATTTCTCAACACACAGATACTCCTTGATTGTCTCGAGTCTACGACAGCCTGCCTTTCGCCATCAGCCCTAGCAGGCTGTGACCCCCCAAGCCGACTCAGTACTTGAATCAATTGTGCTGGACAGGAACACCATTTCCTTTGACAAAAGGAGAACAGAAACAACACACACAACAAAACTCTACCACCAACGACAATTAAAATTAAAGGATGGTGGAGACTACATGATATACATAAGAAAATATAACGAGCATCATTAAAACCTGCTTTTGACTGCCTGGTACTTTTTTTTTTTATAAACCTTTTTTTTTATTTTTTATTTCATATTTTAAGACAAAATGTGGAAAAATAGTTGAGTTGAGTTTACTTTCCATTTCAGTTATTTTGGTCTAAAATGCACTTAAGCTGGTCAGTTCCAGACGATTCACAGTTTAGGTTATAATCCTCAGTAATATGAGTAGGAGATGAATTGCACCTAGCATAGTCTACAGCCAGATATACCATAGACCTAAGACTTCTAATTATACAGTTTAAATGCAGTAAGTGGTTATTTGGAATGTGGGGTTAAGCTTATTTTTTTAGTTGTGGGGATGAAGGGTTAATTATAGGATTATGGGAAGGTGTGTAATATTTTGAAATAAAGGACCAGCATCACACAGTCTTTTATTGCGATAAGAGGCTTTTGTCCAACATTTATTAATACTACTACCTCCCATGGAAAAGAGTAGAGTAAGGAGTAGGGGTCGATCTTTAGCTTCCTCCTTATATTTTATTACCATTCACCCTACCACATATAGGATGGAGTATGATGGAGTTTATATGTTACGATCTCTTGCTTAATAAATATGCGAGAAGGTCCTCATTTTCCCCTCTTTTTTGAGTAGACCATTTTTGTTTTATCAGTTCAACCATTTTCATATATTTTCATGTTAATTAAATGTATTTTTATATATTAAAATAAAATGTATTTTTGTACTTTATGATGTGTGTGTGCATGTGTTTATTTATCTTAAATCTTATCTTTGCTACTGAAAGTGTTAAGACAGTGTTAACAATATTTCTTTTGTATGTGGAGAGGTTTTGGCTCTAGCAGAGTCCAATTAGTTTTTAATTGTTTGTAATTGCTTCTCCTTTTCTTGTTACTCTAGCAAGTGCTAGTTAGCACTGGCAGAAGCATTGTCAGGTAGAAAACACACGTACCGTGCGGTAGTTTTCTTTCTGTACATTCTGACATTCATCACCCAGTGAGCTTTATTTGGGTACAATAGTGTAATGGTAAAAACAAAAAGATAATGGCCAGTAAGCCAAAAAAACATACTACGTACTTTACTATTCAAGCTCCCAGTAGGTATATTTGTAATATAATTTGTTTTAATATGAGAAAAGCAATCTGCCGATTTGTGTTAGGCATGAAAAAATAATCTCCCTTCAGTTTAATAAATTAGTTAAAATGTCATTTGGACTTCTCAGAAACTGTTTTCAGATATATGAATTATTTAAATCAGTGTTAATATAATTGAGGTCATGTTTGTATTTCACTTTATTATATCATTCCCTTTAGGCCGCTTAGGAAAGATTAATCAAATTAACCTTAGCTTTTTTCATCTCACAATCTTATAAAAAAAATGGATTCATATTTATTAATATATGATTATTATGATTATTATATGTCCCTGGAAGCAGAGAGAGCATGTTTATTAGTCATTGTTATTTATGATTAAGACATGTATTGGAATGTCGTAGAGTGGAAAGCTGAGAGAAAAACAGGCCACTAAATTTTAGTAAAACCCTAATGTTACTAGTTTAAGAAATTACCCATGGAGTTAATAAGCTTGCTTACAAAGATCAGTTTTGATCTACCTTTTCAAGAACTAGTAATTAGGGAAAATCTAACAGGATGAAGTAGGATCTTCCATAGGATGTTGATGAAAGATAGAAGTTCTGTGAGCAAGAATTGTCAACGTGTTCGTGATCAGAGGAGAAGAGAAGTTCAGTGGCAGAATGTAGTGACAGAGAAGGGATGTATTTATGAATTAGTGAAGATATGCAGTGATACAGCTGTTAAGAGCTTTGTAGGTGGTTGTTAGTATTTTGAATTTGATCGTGATGGGAATGTGAATTGAATGGAATAATTGGTAAGGTTGAGATGTGTGTGAGGAGCAGCAGGTAAGGAAGATTAGCCCTGAAGCAACTTTTATGATAGACTATAGAGGGGAAGCATGAACTTTAGAGAGACCACTTGGAAGTGAGTTACAGAAATCAAGATAGGTAATGACAAGAGCATTAACAAGTACTTTAATTGAATTTTGGGATCGAAAAAGATGAACCCAAGCAATGTTTTTAATTTAAAAATTACAGAATTTGAAGAATAAATGTAAAGTCATCTTGGCTAATTTGTCTAGTTGTGCTAATGGGTACCACTGACATGAAGGGAAAGTTCCCATATTGGGTACGTTTTTGAACGGGTTAGATATGTTATTCAGTTTTGGAAAGACTTAATTTTAGGAAGATGTTACACATCCAATTATAAGCAGAAGAGAATCAGTAAGTGACACATTCCAGGAGACCAGGATAGAAATCAGAGGAGGTGAGATGTTTTCTGTGTACAGGTGGAAATACAATAGAAACATAGAATGTGACGGCAGATCTGAACTATTCGGTCCATCTAGTCTGCTCAATTTTCTAAATACTTTCATTAGTCCCTGGCCTAATGAAAGTATTTAGAAAATTGGGCAGACTAGAATTTTGAAATTCAAAAATGGTAATCACTAAGAGTTTGCAGGTAGTAAATATGAAGAGAAAACTGAAGGGGTAGGCCAAAACCATAACTTTGAACCTCTTCAATTAAAACAGGTAGAGGGGATGAGGTCTACACATTAATTTAGCTAAGATAAGAATCAGGAAAGGATAGTGATTTTTGAAGTACAAGATTTTCAAGGGTTAGAAGAATCATCATGTGGTCATCAGTGTAAAATGCAACAGAGAGGTTGAGAATATTAAGCAGTTAGGAGTGACTTCTACATGTAGTGGTTATTTGAATATTAGTCACTTTAGTTAAGCTGTTCTAATAGAATGCGGAAAAGCAGAGGCCATATTGAAAATGATGAAAGCAGGAGATATAACTCAGAATATCATTCAAGAGGTAAAGATAATTCATTCAATTAGTTTCAAGACACAAGGGGTAAAGAAATGGCATGTTCATTAGATAGAGAGACACTGGTGTAACTACCACGGTCACAGGAGTCGCAAGGGTCGCAGGGGTTGCAGGAGTCACAGCTGCGACCAGGCCCCTCACTCCAGGGGGCCCGTCTGCCGCCGCAACCCCTGCGACCGTGGGCCACCTGGATACCTTATGGGCCCGTGCACAGCCTCACCGGCCCGGGTCTGCTGTTCCCGCAGGTCTGGCAGGAAGGAAGAGCTGCACTGTGCTGCTTCCCTCCTGCCTCTGTGGATTTTGCTACACAAAGACAGAACGTTAAAACTAAGTCCTTCCATGACTATTTTAACAGCAAGCAAACCAAACACCAATCACAATGTACACTAAATAAACAGACAAATACAGAGTCTGCCACAGCATTCTGTTTAATCCCTCAATTTGATTTATTCCAGAAACCTTATCTTTTTTTACATACTAACTACACATTTCCAGCTCAGCCTCGTCCCTTCCTCACATAAATGCTGCTGTTATTTCCTTGCATTTTATACATTTTAGCATTTTTCGACTGACAAATACAATGTATCAATGGCAAGATCAAAATTCTGGTAAGTAAACATTTACAGAAAATATCAACTATCCTGAGTTGTCAGTAAATGTCCTAAATTCAGGTTCCTGTCCCATGAGACCCACAATAGTTCTCTGGTATCTTGCATCTGGGGACATCATGGAAATGTCCCTAATCAACATAGCACAAGTACTAAAAAAAGTGTAACAGAAAAATAAAATAGATATGCAAAATATTATCAGAAAATTAAAAAGGATTTCTGAGTGGGACCGACCAGTCAGCCAGGCATGCATTCTCATTTTTGGCCCCCTTTAAAGACACATACTCCTTTTACGGTATTGTCAGTGATGCAAGTGACGTCACTGGCATTCCTCCATAGATGACCCACCCCTAAATTGATTTCATAGCTCCCAATGTTGAACCCCTGGACCCTCGAGCACAGGTTCGCCGATGGATGAATTTTTGTCCACCCCAGACAGCCTCAGACACACGCGGCCTGTTGACAAAATGGCGCCGGCCTCACCAGCTGCAGGCAGTGTAGTAGAGTCACTGCCTGGCTCGATACGAGGTGAAACCCTGACACAGATTTCTGTGGAACTGGTGTCTATCTCGGCCAATATGTTCCAGAGCGGATAAAACAGCCATGGTAGCCGAGCTTTGGTCGGTGATACGGGAAGAAATACTGGAGGTGCGCAGAGACCTCATCACACTTGAACAGCGTGTCTCTGAACTTGAGACCGAAAATCTGCAGGCCATTCAGCACTCTCAAGTTACAGACCATGCCACAGCCAGACAAGGCTCGGTCATTCTGGACCTCAGCCGGCAAGTGGAGGACTTGGATAATCGGAGAAGGCGCAACAACATTCGAGTCAGGGGCCAACCCGAGAATGGAGAAGAAGATCTCACTGACGTTCTGGCACAATTGTTAACTCAGATTCTCGGAGAGGAGGCCCCAGATGAGTTCCATATTGAAATAGCTCACAGAGCCCTGCGCCCCCCTAGAAGAGACAGCCGGCCCCGCAATGTAATTTGCTGCCTACTATCCTTCCAGCTCAAATATGCCATAACGCGAGCGGACAGGCCTCAGGTTATTACCTTCCAAGATGCCACAATCACCCTCTACCAAAACCTCTCAGCCCTCACGCTGTAGGCCCACCATGCCCTGAGGCCCCACACATACCTTGTACAAGAACGAAGAATCCCATATAAATGGGGCTTCCCCTTTAGTCTCCAGGCCTGCAAGGACATTATCTGGCGCTTCATGCGATGGCCAAACGATGTCCCTGGATTCCTGAGAGCCCTGAGCCTCCCGGCCATATCGGTGCCAAACTGGATACTGGATAGCCCTCCACCACAGCTGGGCCAACCAGAGGAGGCCGGTGACTCACCCCGCTCCAGCCGCGATGAAGCCTCCCCTCAGCAGAGAGGCGGACCAAATGGCCCAGAGGAATAAAAAGCACCACTGGTCCACAGAGCACGGCATTGGCGCTCCCTCACGGCCTGGGCTACCCATCTTTCTATATGTGCCAGCTTGAGGATACTGCCAGAATTTCACCGCTAAGTACTTTTGTACTGTTAATTTGGACTCAGGGCCTGTCAGCCACCTAGCCTTCAGGTTTGGGTGGTACGGGTGATTGGGGATACTCTGCTGTGGGCCCCGCAGCTGGGGTTCTGGAAGGCCAGGGATCCTGCATAGCACCCATACCCACACGGAGCCACCGCTGGTTATTCACCCTGCCAATATGACCCCACACTATCTTGTTTGCTATCTCTCAGGGAATTGCTATATATATATTTTTTTTCTGGTTTATTTTAATTTTTCTCTTTATATTTTCATTTTTAATACTTTATGCCTTTATACAGTAAGCTTTTTTTTATCAATTTTTCCCATATGCCATCATTCCCCTTGATGTTCGCATATAACACAGTGCGTTAAACAGGTCTGTTCCCTTAGATTAGTGTTAACGTGTCTGTTCGCCTATTTTGTTTTATTCCGTTTTTAGATTTTGTGTCGTTTCGTTTTCGCGCGTGTGCGCGGTGTCTCGGTACGAGCCAGCTTCGCATTCATTTATATGCTGCATTCATACGAACAGTCGCATTATTGACCTCCCACTTTGGACACATTGGATGTACATCATTGAGTTCCAGGGTGAAAACCAGGTGAAACGGATCTACATGGATGACTTTCATTATAAGAAGTCCCCACTGCGATGGATACATACACATCCCTGAGGAAGTCCTTTGTTTATTGGACGAAACGTGTTGGATATTTACAATATTTTATGGACTTTTATGGATTTCATTTTGTATATTTCTTAACTTTGTTTGGATGTTTGCTTTTTTGGCCTATCTTCCACTTTGCTGCTTTGGTACTCTAAAACTACACCATGCTGCTGACGAGTTCCACTATCTGTGGAGATATGCCCATGATTTTTTCCCATTTGTAAGTGCAATCTAATAAATGTTTATTTGGTTTTAATGGTACCCACTATGTGCAGTCTTTTTCTTTTCATATATTAAATCAAGAAATCCTCATCATCTGAAAGTCTCCATACTATTGATTCGTTTTAACCCCTGGTGGGATGAGAAGCCTGATATATCATATATAATATGTTTGTGAGTTTTCTACCAACATCACATATTTCTCCATTTTATACTGTATTACGCTATGTTTTGTTTGCTATTATTATAGATTTCTAATTGGTCTACAGGCCCTGGTTTATATTTCCAGGTTGTTGCAATTTGTTATATACGTATACTGGGTGCCTTTTCTCGCCTTTCTTTCTTATAACAGGAGATTTAGCCTTGATCAAAATGAAAGCTTAGTTTATAATGCTGATGTTTCTATTTGCAAAAAGAAACAAAAATGAGTCATTTTACTTATTTCTCTTTTCGAGCATATTTGAAGTTTTGTTTTTTTAAAGAAAGAAAATATTAGTCAAAAAACAATTAACTGTAATTTTAAGAAGAAAACAGAACTCTAAACAGACATAACACACTGATGAAAGCCATCTGAGCTATGTCACATGGAAAACATATTCTTGCAATGTTAATCAAATGAATTGTTGTTTTTATGCATGAGCTGTTTTCTTCCTGTGCTCAGTAGAATCAAGACTGGAAATCTATCATACAATGGCGTTTACTTAGATTTATAGAGAATATGTTCATTTATCAGAGATTGAAGGAGAGAGCAACAAATGCCTATTTACTTCCTAAAGTACCTGAAAAGACTTTTGCACATAATTTGCATTATATATTTTTCTTTCTTTACACTGGAAAATCTGTTGCCTTAATGCACCCGCTCAGGGATAGTAAAATGATGACAGGAGCCATATGGGGATCAGAAACTAGCTATAGCGAAATGCAATTTAAAGTTATTGTAACTTCAATTGATGTGATGCTATATTTGATCTATTTCTACTGATTGAAGAATAAATTGCATTATGAATGGTGACATAAAATTCTATCAAGTTATATGTCCAAACCAATTGCCGCACAACTGTGAAATCACAGCAAAGGTTTTTAATCAATGTCGCCAACCTGCGGCAGAATCTAAAATAAAGTTAAAAAAAACTATATGAAGGATTTTCTACACTATTTTTTTTTCAACAATGTTGTATTACCAATAACTGCTGAATTATCTTCTGTGCACAGAACACATATGTACTAAATACTTTGTTATGCATTATAAACCCTTATTATGTGTTAAAAACCATTTTGATGTTTAATACATATATATATATATATATATATATATAAATATATATATATAATTACTAGAATTGAATTTAACTTTAAATGAACATACCAAACACCATAACCACTACATCTTTGTCTAGTTGTTATGGTGTCAGGAGAGCACCATCACCACTTCTGTCCTGGAGTCTGCCAGGTGTCAGTCTCTGCCTTTCATCTTCCGCTAAGGAGAGTTGGAATCTCCTGCTACAAGTTTCATTAATGCTTCTGAGCTAAGCCTTTCTGTGCAGAGCCAGCTTATTGGCTGACAGCATCAGCTAAATGCTCTCAACTAATGACCCACACCCTACAATGACAGTCTTAGCTCAGACATAGAGCTTCTGGATCTCACAGAGGCAAGGTGAGGCACCCAGCAGAACATTGGCAGGAAGGCCAAAGTGGAACTATGACTGCCAAGACGTAACTATGCAGTTAAAATCTAGAAAATGCCCAGGGGTTGGCAACTTTTTAGTAGTAGTGTGTCAAAACAAGATCTTGAAGTCCCATGGTGTGCTGGGCTTATTTTTTAAATGAAAGGATCACTATAGGGTCAGGAACACAAACATGACCCTATAGTGTTAAAACCACCATCTAGCCCCCCTGGGCCCCTCATGCCTCCATAAATATAACACAATCTTACTGTATTCAAGACATGCTGTTAGACTCAGAAAAACAAGCAGTCTACTGACAGTGGTGGCCAATCACAATGCTTCCCCATAGGATTGGCTGAGACTGACAAAGAGGCAGATCAGGGGCAGAGCCAGCATGATTCAAACACAGCCCTGGCCAATCAGCATCTCCTCACAGAGATGAATTGAATCAATGTATCTCTATGAGGAAAGCTCAGTGTCTGCATGCAGAGGGAGGATATAATGAATGTTTGGATGCATTTTAGGCAGCCATGACCCAAGAAGGATCTCTAACAGCCATCTGAGGAGTGGCCAGTGAAGTTATCACTAGGCTGTAATGTAATGTAAACACTGCATTTTCTATGAAAAGACATTGTTTACAGCAAAAAGCCTGAAGGTTATGATTCTACTCACCAGAACAAATGCAATAAGCTGTAGTTGTTCTGGTGTCCCTTTAAGGTGTGTATGTTGATGTGTTGTTCTTGGTTGCTTCATCTAAGTGTTGCTTCTAAGTGTGTAGATGGAGATATTCTGGAGAGTTTTACAGAAGTTTCAACTGTCTAAGAGTTGTGCTAAGAGCTTTCTTTTCTACTGTTACAGGTAAGATTAATCTGTAGGAAAAGGTTACTGATTGCACAAGGTTTGAATTCCTGTTGGTAATTATAAGGCATTTGATTTGATTAGTTAGTTACCTGCTATTGATTGCTGTTTAAATTAGCTATTGTTTGCAAATGAGCAGAGGCCTACCCAGGTGTTAAACATTCCTAGTGGGTGGCGATTTTAGGAGTTACATAAGGGTTGTTGTCATTAGCTTGGCTAATATAGCTTGGTTGCTTCATCTAAGTGTTGCTTCTAAGTGTGTAGTTGGAGATATTCTGGAGATAATCTGAGGTATTCAGGAGGATAAATAAAAAAGTTAAGATTTGTTAGATTTAAATTATTCTCCTCATTGGAATGGCAGACTTAGTTCAGTGTAATAGTTGCTATGCATTTGTTTCACGTTCCACTTTTTGGAGGTTTGGTTGTTGTCTAATCTGTAGACAGTAAATTATCTGGTGAACAAACTCAGACTGGAACTGCTGCAAAGCCACTTCCACAGAGACATACTAGGAATGGCAGATGGATTACTGTAGGATCTGGTTGACTTAGAGTTGTGGATAAAAGGCATTTTGCACAGTCTGTTGCTCTACATAATTCATTTTCTGCACTTTCAGAGTGTAATGGTGTTGTGGAGAGAGGCACTGAGGCTAGTGGTGTTGTGGAGAGAGGAACTGAGGCTAGTGGTGTTGTGGAGACCGGCTTGGAGACTATGGTGAGGCCTAATAGAAAGCAGTTGTTGTTGGGGATTCCATCATAAGAGGTGTGGAGATGGACAATGGTGGTCTTGTGAGGTGTCTTCCTGGAGCTACTGCTCACAGAGACAGGAGACGTATCTGTAATATTGTTAAGCAAGCAAAG